TGTGTCCCAAGTGCTCACCGTACAAGCACAAACGTATGCAGCTGCATGTGTACAACTAGTTAGGGTTCCCCACATAATTGGCCGGTATCCAGGGTTTGCTGGACCAACAACCGGCTAACATGATCACAACTCAGAAGTTTCTCCAACCCTATTTGTGGGCTTCCTTTGGAATTTTTCTTGAAACCTCCCCAACAGACGAAGAATATCGATAATGTCAAATGGTTGAAATCGTATGGTTGTACTCTGATCAGTATAATATAGCATCTTTACATATAATCTTCTAACCTCTGATCACATCAGTATATATAGATAGTTGGATAAGTCACCGACAGAATTAATTGAATTAAGACAAATCGATCAAGTTGCACTCCATTTGGAGCATCTTTGGAACGTTTGCTATGTCAATATGCAATGCAAATTTGAACCAAGGCGTGTCATTTCACACATTTTTTTCTTCCATCAATAACAGTTTTTTCAAAATCTTGCCCCACCATGCATTTGGAGTAATCACACATTAAAGTGATTCACAAGATTCAACGAGCAATCAATATTTTATGGTCAAAAGGCCTGAAAAAATATCTGAAAAGGGTGGAAGGTATTATTCAAAAGTTATGAAAGATGCAACTTCAACATTTCACCCTGTTTTCCAAATAAAGCATGTTAATCCTTTAAAAGCAAGTAAAGTCTCAAAATGGTTTTCTTATAATTGTCCAGAGTCCTGCTCTGAAAACCAAATTAATTAACATATGCTAATTTTACCTTGAAATTACTTTGGAAGCACTACACTAGAAGTATATTCTAGATTAAATGAAGAAGTTTATATATGAAAGATGCTTTTGCCACTACTTTTGCTTATTACTTCACACCCTTCATAATTGGGTGTCTTCGGAGTGAAATAACCCCAAAGACCAAGATTCCTGATTTTATTGTAATACCTAAGTATCCAATTTAAAACCCAGCAAAACAGCTGAGATAGAAGGGTGATTTTAGTCAATGGCTATTTAAATAATGTTCCCAATAAGAAGGGGAATGGCAATATATAACAGCATCATATTTTTTTATGAAAAGAAAGGGTCATTTACTAAAACCTCTATAATTTCATGGATTTACTAAGACCTATTTCATTGTGTGTGTTTTACTAAAACATGCCCTGTGGTTTGCAATCTAATCGACCTTTCATTAGATGACAATGAAAACTAACAGTTTTGGCCTTAGCATCCATTTAATAAATTTAATAAAAAGAAAATAAAAATGAAAATACCATTTTCTCCCATAATAAGACATGAGCAACTACTTTATTTGGTCAATTTTGTTTTCTGTAGTATAAAGCAGTGCTGGGGGATAATTTTGGAATAAATAATAATGGGCCGATGGCCTTGAACATTTTTCATTCAGTTTAGGCGATCATGTTACCATTTTCAAATGGCAAAACAAACAATTCTTTGTAAGGCCGATTAAGTAAATAGGTTGCGAACTAGAAGGGATGTTTTAGTAAAATGGAAAGTATAGGGTAGGTTTAAGTAAATCTAGTGGGTGTTCTAGTAAATGACCCTAAAAGAAAAGATTCCTTAATCACTAACCAATAATAACTTGCCTTTTCTATCTCTTTCAAAAAAATTCCCTGATGTTGTAAACAAATTATCTATGCTGATAAAAGAAATTACTCTACATTTTTATTCATGATTTCAATTAGTGAACGTCAAATTATTACTTTCTTCTTTAGGCTGTGTTTGATTGCAGTGCAAATTTATTTGCACTAGTACAAATGCATAGGAATGCAAATGAAAAAATGCAAATTCTTGTTTAATTTTGTTTTGGATTTTACTTTATTCTGTTTAGCGTCTTAATTTACATAATTTGTAGTGCAATCAAACAAAATAAGCTAAAATTTAAAACAAAAATAGGTCAGAATTTACACTCAAATCATTTGCACTGTCATAATTTTGCATTAATGCAGATTTATTTGCATTGCAACCAAACACAGCCTTAATTTATAAATTGGTTCAAAGTCAATCACCTTATGACATTGTTCGTTTTGACTTTGTGTTGGAATTGGATAAAGATTACAATTCTTATGGTATATGTTTGGGATGGCTAAACGTACCCAATTTTAGAATTTTACCAACATGATTTGGGCACATCCATGGTGAAAAGACAAAGGAACCAATGTTTAATTAATGTGAGGTGATCATGGGTCGGACCGGGCTTAGCACCTATGATATGGGTTATAACCTAGGCCCTCCAGACCCAGGCCTGGGTCTGTATCTGTGCCAGTTTTTGAGCCTACATAATCTAACAACAAAAGTTTAATTTTTTAAATAATACTGTACAAACCCAAGTTAGGCCAGGCTTGGTTAGGCTTTGGTCCTATGGCACAAGAAATAAGTTATGACCTCATTTAATTCCTAAAATTGGCTTGGTTTGGCGTGTCTATCCTCTTATAAATGAAGACAAGGAGGACAACTTGGTGGGAATAAAAATGAAGGCTTTACCTAAAAGGACAACTCTCATACTTGAATTGATCAGTGATCACCCTTAGGTCTAAGTGTAACCCTTATTAAAAATGGGTTGTGCTTCAATGCCTCCTCTATTTAAATTTGAACACCTGTGATGGGTGTGATGGAGCAAGTACAAAG